TATGTAAACCAGGAGTAGGCTGGGAATTAAAACTGCTTTTTCTATTATTAAGTGGGTGCTTGTATAGCCTACGGGTTGGCAACATTTTTAAATGATGCACACAGATTTGTGTGTCATAAAAGGAAAACTCTTTTTCAATAACTTAATTGTCTTTGAGTCAATAATTATGTCTGTTCATCACCTTAATTTCCCAGAATCGTGTTGTTTTAAAATATTTCCGTGAAATTGCATGTATCATGCCATCTGCTCTATTTGCCCCTTTTTTCTTAAATCTCCGCTCGTTGTCATTTGGATGACATGCTGCTAGTTATACATCAGCCACGGTGACTGATTCTAAAGAGAGCGGTTCTCCGTTACTGACTCTCTGCCCTTCTGAGCCCTTGTGACCCCAAGTTACCTGAACACGTGTGCTTTCTGCTACAACAAATAAAAATGCGCTATGCCACAGGAGGAGTTAAATTGCATTTAAATTCCTTTAGATGAATTGTCAACAATAAAACCAAAAATCCCAGCGTCTGTTTCACAACCCATCAAGACACGTGAACACTATGGCGGTAAGAGTCCTCAAGAACGTGCACATTTTGCTCCTTCAGGGGTGGATTCTGAGGCATTCGATTCTACTTTTTAATAGTATTATAGTAATGCTATCACAGCTTAATTCTGTTGAAAATAAATTCACCTTTAAATCACTAGAAATAACTTACGGTTCTTTTCTCGGTCAGTGTAAATACCATTTTATTATTCCTTAGATCCAATACTATGTACTTAACATTATATCTGGCAAATAATACATATTTGAACATTTTCATTAAGTGCCCACTTGGCGATGGTAATGTTATCTGTGTGTTATGTTTAGCAGGTTGGGAAGCAGTGCGTATGACATTACACATGGATCTGGTGACAGATACTGCTACATAGCACATATGTCTAAAAAAGACAATTGCCTTTCAAAAATGCTTTAAATTTTTTTAAAAAAATAATGTATCTACCATGTTGGTGAGAACCAACAGAATGTACCTGAGAGGGAGTGTGTGACATGGTCTGTTGTTGTGTAATGCCCCGTGCCAACCGATCCAGTCCTGTGCTCCCACACTGTGGGGAGTCACCTGTCTGTCATCCCCATTGTACTAGGCGATCTATGAGGTATGGCTCGTGACTTTCTTTCTGTATCTCACCGTTTATCACAAAATATGACAGTTAAATGCCGAGGTACAGATTTCTTGAGTAAATAAAAAATATCAGAGAAATATTGCCATAGCTCATTCACCGCATGCCTGACTTCTGAAAGCAGTCATTTCATGGGTTGTCAAAACTAGGTCATGGCCTTAATTATTCAAAAATATAGTATATAACTTTGGGCATCGAAACTTTAATCTTCAGGAACCCCCTGTTTAAGTTCTATATCAGTGATCTGTTTAACCCTTAGAAGTGAAAAGAAAGAACCCAGAGGACCACGGAAACATGCAGCCCAGGTCTAGCTAATTAGCGACAGATTTTTTTTTTTGAACGGGCAGATTTTATTGATCTGGGATGGGAGCAGAGTTATGCAACATTATCTTAGAGTTCACTCTCTAATAGTGTTTACTTTTAGAATCGATGCCTTGATGCCTTCTTATTAGTTTACTCATAAAGGATATTAATCATTGGTTCAAATAGAATTTTAGATGTCTGCTAACGGCTCATTCATTAAATGGCCATCATCTTGAACTTTGAGGTTGAACATTCTAATTTCCTTTGGGCTGCTCCCAGATATATATGTCCATGTAAGAGGGGAAACATTTCCTTCCACTTCATGCCTTTAATGGTTGACCCAGTTTCTGGAGCCATTGGTCGGTGACCCACCTGGTATGAAGTAAGATTGATTTAGAATCACAGCTTACTACGGAAGGAGCTTTCAAGTTCAATTAGTTCATACTTCTCAGATGTATAAAGAAAATTTATTTTCCATGTTTTCTATAATTACTCTCTCTCCCTCAGAAACCCCTTTAAAGAAAAAGTTTCAATTTGTATACTCTGCCTGATACAATCACGTAAATCACTGGTTAGGTAACTGAGTCACTTTTAGAAAAATGGTCACACTTTCAGATTTCTTCCCTCTTTGCCCATTGCTATGCAAGATTGCTCTGGGATGGGAATTGGGGTGTGCAGGGGTTTTTGTGTGATCTGGTGCAGTGAGCGATCGGGGCCGAGCATCCTCTGGGCTTCTGCTGGCTCCTTGAAGAATTCTGCTTTGGACCTATTGGCAGTATCTCCCCAGGACGGCGGCCAGGGCGTGGGGAGGGGGTGCTGTCTCATCTTCTGGTGTTCACCAAAGTGTGTGTTTCAGACACAGGCAAATGCGCCTTTGTCCCAACCTCAGGCTCCCAACCACCCACTACTCTTCTCAGAAACGGTGGCCTGCGCAACAGGGGCATGCAGCACCCTCTGCCTCTCTCGCCTGCTGCATACGAGCCTTGGGAACAATGATCTCAGCTTCCTCTTTCTTGCCAACACCTGCCTGGCTAAAAGGACTTGTGCTGGATGTGACGGCATGCGGCCTTCGTCTGGGGCGAATGGGACCAGCCTTCCACGCCCACAGTCACAGGCCCCTCTTACTTGTCTGGGTATTTCTATCAGTCCCTGCACTCGCCTTGGGATTTCTTCCTCAGCGGAGAAAAATGGGACCCCCGTTAAGCTCTACATCTTACCTGTATTTCTCCTTTCCTCCAGGTCGTGGAAGGATGTGCCTTCTCTCCCCGTATATCATATCTGATTATTCCCGCCCCTGAACACAGAGAAGAGCCCTGGGCCCCCTCTCCCATGCTTGGCTCTGGGTGTGCTGATAAGAGTGTAAAGCGTTTCCCTGTCTCCCGTCCCAAGCGCACTCAGACTTGGGGCGGGAGGCTGCGAGGAAATGGAAATTGAATAGGAAATGAAAACACGTTGCTTTAATATTTTCAGACCATTATCTCTGTTACATCTAGATCAATGGTCGTGACTCCCGGCTGGTTATTAAAGTCACTGGAGGTCTTTTACCAAAGCCTGATGCTAGACCACCATGGAAAAATGAAACCGGAGCGCCGGTTATCCATCAGTCTGGCGCTGGGGAGTTTCAGTCCATCTCTCGGCGTCAATTAGTAAACTGCTCCTGTGGGTGCTTCCCCCCTCCTGCACTGCTGAGCTCCCCGCGCTGCCGAACCAGAGAGTTCTCTGCCTGCATAGGGTTGCAAACCACATTTATAAGTCATTTCATGTTTTAGTACAGTGTATGTATGGGGGTGTGTGTTTCACATGTAATTTATGTAGAAAACAAATCAAGAACAAATGCCTTCCTTGTCGTCTTTGTTCCTTACAACATTCTGGTGAATTTTTGTCTCAATGGCTGTCGTGCCGGGAAAGGAAAATGTCCTACGTCGTCATAAAAAGAGCCGAAGCCTCGCTTGCCCGGGCTGGTGGAGAACAGCCCATGTCTCCATTCCCACCTGTGCCTTTTCCTCTCCCCACGACCCCGGCACCGCTCCCCGGGAGTCCCTTCCAACTCACACGGTCTCGGGGGTCCCTTCCAACTCACACGGTCTCGGGGGTCACTTTCAAGGGTGTCTGATGTTTCGATGATCCTGCAGTCTGTGGGGAAGTGGAGAAAAGAAGACACACGACATCCTCCTCCTTCCCAGTACCAGAGAGCCCTCCGTCCTGTACCCCAACTAGAAAGCCAAGGAAACACAGTCCATGTGTTTCTTCTGCCTACTTCCAGTCACTTCTAAAACGACATCTAAGGACCCTCTAGCCGTACAGTCCCGTCTCCTTTCTTCCCCGTTTCCTGATCCGTAGTCTCTCTCCCCCACTTCCTCACTTTTTCCTTCTCCCTCTCTTCCCTTCCCCCCTCCTTTCTCTTCCTCCCCTCCCTCCTCCTCCCTCCTTTTCCTAATTCCTCCCTCCTCCCCTCCCCTCCTCCAAACACAACAGAAGCTGCAGCTCTCTGCTTCTGTGCAGGAGAAACATCAGCCCAGACAGTGACACTCCTGAGGCTGTCAGGGAACCGGGAGCCAGGACAGGCTGCCCACACTGTTCCTCCAGCACCCCAACACCCCCAACACCCCAACACACTCAAGAGGGTTCGCCGGCCTGGTAGAAGGAAAGAAGGGAAAGTTGGGGAATTTCTGGGATGACCTGTGGTATGTTGATTACCGATTTCTTTCTTCGTCTTCCTCATGTGAACCACAGCCTCCTTTGCACATTCTTTCTACGGAAAACCAATCTTCGTGAATCATTGTTACAAACGGTGCTCTGGGCCTCGAGCGGGCTCCACTGGTTGTAGTTCTCCAGCCTGGAAAGCAGGTGACCTGCCACAGCCGTGTCTCCTCCTGCGGGGCGGTCACCCTGCTTGGTCTCTGAACGCCCTTGTTCTCAGTCCACACTGTTTGCAACTAATACCGACACCTTCACACGCAGAGCCCGTGCAGGCTGCTCTGGGGGTTCGCTGAGAATGGTGTCCGGAGGCCGTGCGTGGGGTAAACGAACGGAACCTGTTTTATCACCGACTGCTGTGGATGGAGGTGCCTGTGGCCACTTAGAAAGCGTTGCCATCGGTGACCGTCTTCACGGCCTTTCCTCGGGTTCTGGAGGGCGAGTCATTAATACCCTGATCAAAAACTTCACACTTTTGCCCTGGCCGGTTTGGCTCAGCGGTTGGAGCACCGGCCTGCGGTACAGAAAAACTTCACAGTTTTGCTCAGTGGTTAGAGCGTCAGCCCGCGGACCAAAGAGTCTCAGGTTCGGTTCCGGTCAAGGGCACATACCTCGGTTGTGGCTCAGTTCCCGGCCCTGGTTGGCTCCTGCGAGAGGCCACCAGTTATGTCCCTTTCACATCAATGTTCTTCCCTCCCTCCCTCCCTCCCTCCCTCCCTCCCTCCCTCTCTGAAAATAAGTGGAAAAATATCCTCAGGTGAGAATTAAAACAAACAAAAAACTTCACAGTCAAAGACTCCTTTGTCTCTCTCTCTTTTTTTTTCATTTTCCAGCCTGGATGTGTAAATACCACCGAAGTGGACATTAAGAAGTCGTCCCGAATGAGAAACCCACACAAAACACGGAAGGTAACATCCCGTCAGCCGTGGAATCTGCTCCCACTTCGCAGTCTCCCCGGGCCCCTCCCCTGCCCTCTTGGTGCTTGGCTAGGAAAGTTCTGGCACTCAGACCCGTCTTCTGTCCTCCCTCTGAGGAAGGAGCCCCATCCTAAGGCACATGGCGTCCGTGACGGGAGGGGAGCAAGGATGCGGAGGACCCTTCTCTCTCCATCAGAGAGAAGAGTCATCACCCAAGAAGGGCGTGTCTGTCCGAGTCCAGGGGACGAGGGATGGAGATGGAGGTGATCAGGACAGCGGTGCTGATGACAAGGGCATTTTTAGAGAAAAGTAGGAGGAGGGCAAGGGAGACACGGTAAAGACTCTTAACCACATAGTGTACGAGGACCCTCTTCTGACATCAGAACGTTGTGACACGGCCATAAGGTAGTGACTGTGTGGCTTCTATGTGAGAGAATGCATACTCAAAAAAATAAACCTTTCCAGAATTTAACAACATTTTAAATAACATTTTAAAAACACACAGCACTGGTACCTATGTCCTTTTAAAGTCACACACACACACACACACACACACACACACACACGGCAGTTTCATTCATTCCCTAAAAACGCCCTGTTGCACACAGAAGAATTTCCGGCCTGTGACAGTCACTCTGAGGACGTGTCCCCGGTCGGTACCACGGGATTAAAGCGTTCCACAGAACTCAACACCTTCTTTTCTGTGGCTTTTTCCTTCTAGCATTTTCCAGGGTATGTGTCTCTGACGTAGACACAAAACATGTTTTTGTAGTTTTATTTCCTGTTGGTTTTTTTCCATCCTGAGAAACAGAGACATCATGTTCAAAGGGCCCAATACGTTTCAAGTACCTTTCCTTTCTCCTAAGACAGCGGATCTTGATCTTAGGATCAAGAAGCCACAGGGGACGCGCCAGAGAAACCATTCAGATGCGGCTCAGAGGCTTTTGTCCCCGGAGCTCTCTGAGAGAGAGGCAAAGGCAGACCCACGCAGACCCACCCGTGGGTGCCCTCTGCTGGTGACAGGTCCTTTCATCAGTGCACCAGGGTCTGACCTTATGGAACCAGATTCACAGTGTCATCAGCTGTCCAAAAAGTGCATGGAGCCGCCTCGCGCTGCGTTCTGAACTCTGCGGAGCTGCTCTCTGTGATTGCTCACCTTGCACCCAGTTTCCCCAGCAGACCCCAGCTGAGATATGCTCCGATTCGGAAGAGAAAGGGGTGGATTAACGACAGAGCTTGAAGATAATGAAGTCATCGCTTACACTCTTTTATTTCCATTTCTCTATTTTAGTTTATCTTTATTGTTGAAAGTATTACAGACTTACACTCTTTTAAACACTCTACCGATATCGATACCTTACCCATGCGTCACATAGCATCATTCTTTTCTGTCATCTTATTTTTCAGTTACAGTTGACATTACATGTTATTTTGTATTCATTTCAGGTGTACAGTATAGTGGTCAAACAATCACATAGTTTACAGAGTGTTCCCCCAATATTTCCAGGACCCACCTGGCACCATTCCTAGTACGGTAGTATTGATGATATTCCCTGTTATTGACGTTACGTTCCCGTGACTTGGAAAGTTGGGAGAGCAGTAGTTGGCAGTGTTTCTCTTCACATGCCATCAGCCCATGATGGAGAAACGTGACGCACAGCCAGGTCAAGTGCGCAGTCTGGTTCCCTGCGTCTCCACCAGGGTACAACTCCAGCGTCCACCTGCAGAGCCACGTGGCGCTAACATTGCCAGAGCCAAACGGAAGTTCTCAAGATGCTACAGCAATCTCAGGCATGCCCTTGTTTTTCACACCTGGAGAAGACTGATATTGTCACCTTTGATGAACATAGCTTCTCACAGAAGTGTTGAATTCAGTAGAATCTTCACAAATAATGTTATTTTACATAGACTGACGGTTACAGGACTCTAAGCCACACGCTGGTTGGTCTCGTAGAAATATCTGCTACTTTAGCTTGTATTTGGCTCGGAACTGGAGTGACCCATTCATCAATGGATTTAGTAAGTCTCTGCTGTAGCCAGGCGTGTACTGGCCGTTAGGTAGTCAGCAGTGAATGGGACAGGTTCGTCTTTGTCCCACAGCTCATGGTCTGCGGAGAACGCACACTCTGAACAAGCAGACAGACAAATGTCTATACGGACACAATAACAGCCCTGAGCAGAGAGCCCTGCTGTTCATTTCCTTGGAATTCAGCTGCAATGCTGCTTCCCGTGGCTACATGTCATCACAGGAATGAAGGGTCTGGTCAGCCTCTAGCACAGTACTCTAGCCTCTGTGCCTGAAGACTACAGGGTGTGGAATGTTATGTTTCACTGTTGAATGTCAAACGTGTCTCAAATATGTGAAGAGGAGGCTTATCAGATTTGAGATCGTTTTAAGTGTTTGGGATTAGTTGATTTTTCAGTCTCTTTTCTAAATTTGTCTTTCTGAAAATACAAAGGAATAAGTAATAGCCTCCGTGAAGGAATGATAATGTAGCATAACTAGAAAGAAATCGGCCTCGTGTGGGCAAATATTATGGTGTCTATGTGTGTAATATTCATCAGTCTGTGTATTAGTCAGTTCTTTATTCTGAGAAACTGAACCAAAGGAATGAGGAGCTAAAGATAGAGGAGATGGAGATGGAGATGGAGATGGAGATGGAGATGGAGATGGAGATGGAGATGGAGATAGAAGAAGAGCTAGAGATTTTGAGTAACGGACTTGGTGGATGTAGAGGTTTGGTGAGCCCAGAATCTGGTGGGCTAGGCTGGCAGGCTGTCGTTTCAGGGAAGGATTGTTCTCTGCTCACAGTCCCTCTTGCTTGGAAGAGGTTTGTATTTTTGTGGTTTTCGAGTCTTCAACTGATTGGATGAGTCCCACCGACACTGGGGAGGCAATCTGCTTTGCTCAAAGTCCACCAATTTAAATCTTAATCTCCTCCAAAAGAACATTCACACAGAAACACCCAGAATAACGTTTGATCAAATATCTGACCACTGTGGCCCAGCCAAGCTGACATCAAATTAACCATCCCAGGCCGATCCTTCTATATGACAATAGCCCCAGGGATCCTAGGACGACATAAAACCTGAGGAAAATGACAAAAGTGTGGGTGCATATGTGACTGAACCCACATTTCAGATCGCTTTCTGTGTCTTCAGAACCCATATTTCAAAACAACAGTAGTTCCCTGTCTCACTATCTTTCTTTCCTCTGTCACATCTGGATGTTTGGGCACCTGCTGTTTTAGTCAACAGCTAATATGCCATCATCTGGGAAGAACAGTTAGCAAAGTCATCAGACATGGTCCCAATCCATCCTCTACCTGAACTGAGCGATCCAGAGGAAAGAGGAATATTCCTCGCCGTCACCAGTTTGAAAAATCCCAGAGATCGCGCCCCACACAGAGGCATAACGGCTTCCTTACTCTTTAGTTTCTACTTTCGAGCCCCCTCCCCTGCCAAAAACAAAAAAATGTAGGAGAGAATTTTTCTTAGACATCCTCTAAAATGTGAAGGGAAATCACACATGAACAGGTTCATGTAGAAAGTTAGATCTGTTTCATTCATTTGGATGCTAATATACTATACACAAGAAGTGCTGATCTCGGCTCCACGAAGAATAAAGGGTCGGGATAATCAAGACAAAGTGTTTTAATTGAGTGACTCGTGTGGCTCTTACAAGTCAGAATGGATTCCAGTGAGTTCATTTGATCCCCCCGCTGAAAATACCGACACGCAGCCAAGTCCCGTCCTGTTCCTCTGCAGCCTCTCTGTGGCTAGATCCCTTCCCCCTGCCCTTTGCCAGTATTTTAATACACTTGCTTATTCTGATGAATTCAAGATCCTTTTACACTGCAGCTAATCCTCATCACTTGTCTGCTCAAATAGGATCAAGTTTTTTAGCACCTTTGTTTATACAATAAGCTCTGTGCTTAAAATTACATTGATCGGGGTTATTTTCACTCGAGCCAAGAATCTAAGTTAAAAGCTATTAGCCACCTCCAGGAAATGAAGGACACCCCTGATTGACGTGAGAGAAGCCCTGATGTTTACTTGCATGTAGGCAAAATGGGAAACTCCACAGTGACCTCACAGCCAGTCGCTGGAAAACTACTTTAAATGACACCTCCCAGTGGTTTGGGTCTTATGTACAACTTCATGATACCCGTGTGAAAGGCCTACCTGTGGAAATGATCATAGAAATGCAGGGATAGAAGACAACTTATGGATCACTTGACTTCTATGACACCATCAATCATCGTATTTGTCTAGAGGTCTTTTTAATTATTTTAATTCTTCACCAAAAAGCATAGTGTTAAAACCGTTAGCTATCCTGTTTTATAAGCATTTTTTAAAACCACTGTCAAGTCTTTTTAAAGAATTTAAAGTAATTAAACCAAGATACACAGAAATGGAAGTTCAAGAATTAGACTCTTTTAAATTCTTATCAAAAATTAATGTGATACAACTGGATAAAATAGCAAACATCGGAAACTATAAGTATTGCATAGTTGGGGAGCTTTCATTTACCCAATTTTAGAAAATCAACCTCAACTGTCATTTCAGACTTCACAAGGTTGTTTTATTTAATCATGTTCAAATACAACTAGTAATAGTTCATGGAGGCCTCTTCTGTTTCTTCAACGGAAATCAAGTCTCCTCGAACTCAGGCCCTCCGCTCATTATTCTTCTCTTTCCTAAAGCTTATCACACTGTAATCATATATTTATTTGTGTGATTATTTGTTCGATGTGTTTCCTTTCTACTAGATCATGAGTTCCGATGGAGGAGGAAGCATATCTGTCTTCGCTTTCTTCTGTGTCCCTAATTCTTAGCACAGTATCCAGCCTATAGTTAGTGTTCAATACATGTTGAATGAATGAATGAAAAAAGGAAAGAGAAACTTCAATTCAGCCAGCTCGGTCCTGTTGATAATTAATCCACAGCATAGGCACTACTGCTTGGGTGCGAAGGGATGCCCAGTGGCAGGAATGGAGTTCCAGGAGGTTGGGGCTAAGAGAAGGGAGATCAGAGGACCTACCAAAAATAGTGTGAATTGGATGTTTCAGATCGGTTAAACCTGAGTGAGTCACATCTGTTAAAGACAAGCAAACAAAAAGCACAAGTCCAGAGGGTCAATGTGCAGGGCCAAGAGGTTAACTTTAGAAAGAGAGAGGGTCCAAGTGAAAACAGGTAAGAAACAAAACACATTTGAACTTAGAAATATTGGTAAGGTTGGTGATGGTTCTGAAAATTGGCTCAATTAAACATCTCGATCAACCCTCCTCTGATTTCACGAGTTTCTTCCAAACCTAACTGGTAACGTTCATTGTATGGGCGGGGCTCATACAGTTTTCACAAGTCTTCATCCTTCATCCTACTCTAAGAGAAAGTGCTCTCAAACCACCCCCAGATTTTATCACCGCACTTACCATGTTTTCTCCGTATAATCAATTATTCTGTCAAAGTTAATAATCTAACCACATCGTTTTTCAGAGCTGTGCTTCTATTTTACATTCATAAGATATTTGTGATAACGGTGCCTTTTGAATTTTGATAAGAAACTTAATCAAATATGTAGCAAACTTACTTTATTGAATATATAACACAAAATTACCTTTCAGAAGTCTGTCACTACACATGCTGTTTTGTTCTAACCTATTTCTTTTTTAATTTAATATAGTCTGTCTATGGTTTACAAAATGATATCAGAAGTCACAGTCCTACCCACACACCCACACCAGAAACCAAACCTCCAACAGAAGATGAGTTACAACAACAGGTGGGTCAACCTATAAAATGACCTGCTAGTGGTTTACAAAGTAGCAGCTAAAAGGCGGAGGGGGGGGGGGCAGTGAATGTTAATAGCAGGTGTTTGAAAAGGTTACTGTTTCATATAGAAGATTTTCAGTTAAAAAGTAATGAAATTGCCTAATGGTGAGTTTTGAAGTCAAAACTCTCCAATTGTTAATTCCCCAAGTTCTTTTTTCTCTACCCAATTTTTTAAAGTCACATGCACTAACTTATAGGTGCTTTCATTGTCCAGAGTTATTTTGTACTCCAGAGCTCGGACTCACAGAATGAGAAGACAAGAGGTTGGCTACACTGTCTTGCTTTCCCCTGTCCTATCATGTGATGTGATCATCACAGAAGAGGGCTTATTCTTGTTCCTACAGCCCTGATCTCTGTGTCTATAAGCTTCTTGAAGTTTTCTTTTATCAACACTGGTGTACAGTCATGGTATATATCACTTCTTGTTTTACCAATTGATCAATAGTTTTGTCTCCAAGTAGTGTTACAAAGCAAACACCAGTGTCTCATATCAAATAATAATTAATCTCTTAGTTGGTTTGGTCATGTGACTTTTTCCCTTTTTAATTCATTTTTTTCTTATATTTATTGTAATATGATTTATCAATAATACAATATGTTTTCCTATTATAGTCATCATAAAGGAAAAGTAATTCAGAAAATTTTATTTTTTTAAATTATTTTTATTAATTTATTTTTGTTACAGATGTTTCTCCTTTTTCCCCCATTGACACCCTCCTCCCCATCCCCCCCTCACCCCATTCCCCAGCTTTGTTGTCTATGTCTATTGGTTATGCATACATGCATATAAATTCTGTGGTTTATCTCTTCCTCCCCACAACCCTCTCTTCTGAGGTTTGTCAGACCATACCCTACTTCTATGTCTCGGGATCAATTTTGTTCATCAATTTGTTTAGTTCATTATATTCCACAAATAAGTGGGATCATGTGATATTTGTCTTTCTCTGCTTGGCTTGTTTCGCTTAGCATAATACTCTCCAGGTCCCTCCATGTCATCTCAAAGGATAAGAGCTCTTTCTTTCTTACAGCTGCATAGTACTCCATTGTGTACATGTACCACAGCTTTTTTATTCACTCATCTATTGATGGACACTTGGGCTGTTTCCAGATCTTAGCGATTATAAATAGCGCTGCTATGATCATAGGGGTACATATATTTTTTCTGATTGATGTTTCAGGCTTCTTAGGGTATATTCCTAGAAGTGGGATCACTGGGTCAATGGCAGTTCAATTTTTAATTTTTTGAGGAAACACCATAGTGTTTTCCATAGTGGCTGCACCAGTCTGCATTCCCGCCAGCAGTTACTAGAGTCTCCTTTTCTTCACACCCTCGCCAACACTTGTTGTTTGATGATTTGTCAGCTGTGAGTATTGCTACACCAGCTTTTTTCATTTCCATTTGCTTGGGAAATTTTTTCCATCTTTTCACTTTCATCATGTGTTCATTTCTTCCTTTGTTGCTCTTGTGTTAGGTGTTGTATCAGTGAAAATTCTGCTGCGTATGATGTCTGAAATTTTTCTGCCTACGTTTTCTTCTAGGATTTTTATGGATTTATGAGTCACATTTAAGTCTTTTATCCACTTTGAGTTTATTCTTGTATATGGTGTAAGTTGGTGGTCTAGCTTATTTTTTTGCATGTAGCTGTCCAATTTTCCCAACACCATTTATTGTGAGGTGGGTCTCTTGTAACAGCATACATATGGGTCATGTTTTCTTATCCAATCAGCTACCCTATGTCTTTTGATTGGAGCATTTAAGCCATTTACATTTAAGGTTATTATTGATAGATAGTTATTAGTTGCCATTTTTATTTAATGCCTGTGTTCCTCTCTCTTTCTCTCTGTTTCTTCTTCTTCTTACAACCTTCCTTTTAGCATTTCTTGCAGTGCTGGTTTGGTGGTGGTAAATTCCTTCAGTTTTTTGTTTGTTTTGTTTTTTGTTTTTTGTTTTTATCTGTGAAGCTCTTTATTTTTTCTTCAATTTTGAATGATAGCCTTGCTGGATAGAGTAATCTTGGATTCAGACCCTTGCCTTGCATTACTTTATAGACTTCATGCCACTCCCTTCTGGGTTGCAGCATTTCTATTGAGAAATCAGCTGACAGTCTCATGGGAGCTCCCCTGTAGGTAACTTTCTGTCTCTCTCTTGCATCCTTTAAGATTCTTTCTTTGTCTTTAATGTTTGCTATTTTTATTATGATGTGTCTAGCTGTGGGTCTTCTGGGGTTCATCTTGCTTGGGACTCTCTGTGTTTCCTGGACTTGTATGACTTTTTCCTTCATCATTTTAGGGAACTTTTCTGTCATTATGTCTTCAAACAGGTTCTCTATTCTTTTCTCTGGTTCTTCTCCTTCCGGTACCCCTATAATGCAAATGTTGTTACATTCTGTATTGTCCCACAGCTCCCTTAAACTCTCCTTCTGCTTTTTAATTTTTCCCTTTTGCTGTTCTGTTTGGGTGTTTTTTTCTACTTTGTCTTCTAAGTCACTGATTTAGTCTTCAGCTGCTTCTAATCTACTATTGAACCCTTCTAAGGTATTTTTCATAACAGCTATGCCATTCTTTATTTCCTCTTGATTTTTATGCATAGCTTCTACCTCTGTTTTTAAGCTGGAGTGGTTCCCAATGAGCCCTTCATAATTCTTATTAAGTTTCTTGTAGTTCTCTCCAAATTGTTTGAGTACCATTAAAATAATTGCTTTGAATTCTTTATCTGACAAGTTGCTTTCTTTCATGTCCTGTAGTTCCTTTTCTGGTGATTCCTCTTTTTCTTTCCTTTGAGTGTTCTTTCTTTGTCTCCCCATTTTAGCCGTCTGGTAGTTCTAGACCTGGTGAGGGATGTTGGGATGTGTAGGCAGCTCACTGTGTATCAAATAAGGCTGCTGTACCTCCCAGACTATTCTGTTGTGTGCTGCTCTTACCTGCTGTGGGTCCTGGAGGATTGACTACTGGGGGCCGGTATTGGTCTGTCCTGGTAGGTGCTGCTGCTGTATCAGTGTGGGCCCCTGTGAAGCTGTGTTCCCCACGGATTGCTGGTGCCACCTACAGCTGTATTGCTCAGGCCCTGCTGGAGCCTCACTCCCTGCCAGCACTGTGGGCAGCTGGGTCGCACAGGCCCCGCTGGAGCCCTGACTCTCCAGAGCTCCTGTGGGCAGCTGGGTCACACAGGTCCCTCTGGATCCCCAGCTCCCTGCAGATCTTGTGGACAGCTGGGTCGCACAGGTCCCTCTGGAGCCCTGGCTCCCTGCAGATCTTGTGGACAGCTGGGTCGCACTGGTTTCTCTGGATCCCCAGCTCCCTGCAGATCTTGTGGGCAGCTGGGTCGCACTGGTTTCTCTGGAACCCCGGCTCCCTGCAGATCTTGTGGGCAGCTGGGTCGCACTGGTTTCTCTGGAGTCCCAGCCCCCGAGCTATCCCATGGCAGCTGGGTCGCACAGGCCCTGATGGAGCCCCAGGTCCTGCCACTGGCAGCTGGGGAGCACTGCTGCCCCGTGGGGCTCAGCTCCTGCTCAGCCTGTGTTAAAGCTTTTGGGGATGGGGCTCAGCTGCTGGTCTGTGCTTCTGTTGCCTGGGGATGGGTCTGCTCCCCAGCCTCTGTTGCTAGGGGTATATCTCTACTCTGATCAGGCTGCTATTGTAGGGGATGGTGCTGGGCTCTGGGCTGTCTGTGGCTTCTGCAGCAGGCACCTTGACAGCTCCGTTACTGTGCACTGGTCTGTGTTGACACAGAGTGTCCACTGGTCCGATGGTGCCAGGTGCGCTGGTGGGCTCAGGTTGCTGGGTCCTGGCCGCTCCCACTGCCTCCTCCCAGGGAAGACCCGGGATCTTCCAAAATGGTGGGACCTCCCCACGGTGCAGGGAGAAGCGCCCTGAAGGGCTGCTTACAATAGCTGCTCCGTGCACAGCACAGGGACCTTCTGCTCCGCGGCTCTGCACTGCACGTCCACTCACACTCTCACACTCACCCTCCCTCTGGTCCTGCCCGCCGCCGTCTTCTCTCAATAATAATCTACTTCAGAGAATTTTAAATGAAAGTTTTTTCTGTGTGATTATGTCCATGTGAGTGTTTGTCTGAATTGTTGATAAAATTATTCTCAGAACACGTCATTGATGCCTTGCTGGGATAGTATTAGGAAGCAGAATGTATTTTGAGATCATAATAACAAATAACAAATGCATTTATACTCTGAGTTTAGGGAGTCAATGTAATTCTGATTTGCTTATTCACCATGAATAAATGTTTAAAATCTTTATAACACTTTTAAAAGAAAGTTACTCTTTGTGAAAGCAGGTAGAATACTTAAATTCATTGCTGCTCGAGAGTGGTACTGGGTGTAGTTACATTGAAACAGATTTGAATTCTCTAACTCTTCCAGAGCTAGCTCGCTCTCTCACTTGACTTTTTTTTTTTTTTATCCTCACCCGAGGACATTTTTCCATTTTTTGTTCAGATAGAGTGGGAGGGAGAGAGAGAGAGAAACATCGATGTGAAAGGGACACATCGAGTGGCTGCCACCCGCACGACCAACCAGGGCCGGGGACAAACCGCAACCGAGGTACGTGCCCTTAGCGGGAACCGAACCCGGGTCTCTCTGGTCCGCAGGCCGACGCTCTAACCGCTGAGCCAAACCAGCCAGGGCTCACTTGACTTTTTTACAGACTTTGCAATTTTACTGATTTAGAACATGTTCTTGTTGGGAATTGCCCTGTTTATCATAAATTAGAGCTAAAAATTGTGAGAATATCACCACTTATATAACTGAGTCGTTAACTTTTTTTTTCAGATAAACTATTGGCAAATCCAGTTAGATAGACATCGGTTAAAAATGTCAAAAGTTGCTGATAGGTAAGTATTTCAAAATGTCCATGTACATTTAAAAAATTTTATATGATAATGGGATCTGATAAAAATGGCAAAAGAACTATTGGAAAGGGAGCTGAGATAAGTAATTGGAACCCTGTAATAAATGTTATTTTGTTTTTCCTTTTTTTGAAAAAAATATATTTTTATTCATTTTTTTAGAGAGAGAGAAAGGGTGAGATGGAAACATGGATGTGAGAGAGACACATTGATCAGCTGCCTTCTGCACGCCCCCGACTGGGGATCGAGCCCACAACCCGGGCATGTGCCCTGATGAGGATTCGAACCAGGACCTCTCAGTCCATGGGACAATGCTCCATCCACTGAGCCACACTGCAGATTAAAACAAATTTTTTTTTTTGGTCAGTGATTCATTCCCCCTTTACCTAATTTCTGTAACTACTTTTTTTTAAAAAAATTACTTTTTAACCTCTTTTCCAAGTGGGCTAAAATCAATGCAGCTGAGGGTGGTAGACCAAGGACTGGAATTGACTCTTAGCAATGCCCTTCACACACTTGCTTCTCTGTTTTGCTTCATTGGAATGGAGGGTTAGACTCACCTGGCTCAGGCATGGGCAGAGGTGGAATTCTTAGCCACATGTGTCTTCCAAGAGGCACAATAAGTAGATGCAGGTGAGTTACTGAAATGTGAGAACTGCCCCTGGGTTTCATTCCATGAGCAAGCGAGCATTGCTTGGCCAGACATTTGCATGGTGCCCCTTGACTTTGGGCTGGGTCTAACCTCAGCCAGACAACTAAGGAAGATGAACGTGTTTCTTCTCCCCAGTCTGCTAAGTTACACGGAACAGTATTTAGAGTATGACCCATTTTTCGTGCCACCTGACCCTTCTAACCCATGGCTGTCTGATGATACTACTTTCTGGGAACTCGAAGCAAGGTGAGTGACAATTTCTCTTCCCTCAAAATATGTCACGTATTTCAGGGGTTGGATTAAATAGGAAGAGTCCTATAGCTGAGTCATTGTAAAGGCAAGTTCACTCTGTGTCTACATTAGCCCAGGATGTAAAGTTCTTATTCTAAAGGGTATGGTTTTTGAACCTTTGATGTTTGGATTTGTATTAATATTTGCATTTCCAGAAGACTGGAATGAAAGAGGGGTTTGAAGGTGGTAAGAAAGGCCAGTCAGAGTTGGAGTCTTCAATTCTCTAAATTTAGCTCATTGTTTGAGTTTCCTTCACAATTCACATGGTCCCAAAGCCTATGCATCCAAGTGAAATGAACGCTGGATCTATACTTACTGAAACCCAATATAAGAAGCCTTTATACATTCAATTTTCAAAGAAAATGACCTTACCATACACACTCTAAGAGAAACTGACTTCTTAAGCAAACCAAACCACAATTCAGGCCTCCCTGGTTTCTTTCATGAGCTAGGGAAGAATTATATTATCAGTCTTGACAGAGTGATAAAAAGATCATTGCATATCACTCTCTACAGCGAGTATTTCATACTCTGTAGCTCTTCTCTAGATTGGAATTACGAACCTTCTCTTTCTTTTACATCCATCCAGTGGTTCTTAAATGCTTGAGAAGTACAGACCTCTTTGTTCGTAAGTTCTAGATTTTACAGATGAGGAAGCTAGAATCCCAAAATGTCGTTACTCCACCAGGATTACATCACACATTTAATTGACAGCAGAATCATAAACTAGGACTTAGGCCTTTTGGTTCCCATGCGTATTCTCCCAGGACAACATGCCACCATGAGACTGCATTTGGAAGGGGTTGGGGGTAAGAAATTGGGTTATAGGTTCAGAATGTCTGCAATTTCCCTGTTTTCCTGTCTGACGTTGGTAAATTGTAACCCTCTTTGTGCCACAATTTCATCATCTATCAAAAGAGAATTATAATAGTATCTATCTCATAAAGTTGTTGAAAAAAACTAAAAGATCCACCCGATGCTCAATAAACCGCAGACTTGAGTACTGATGCCTAACTTACCCACACCACAGTTTCACGCAGTCGTCGATCTGAGATTGTCTTTCTCCTGAAAGTTGAGTTAAAGATGGGAATGTCAAGAGGAAGTGGAATCGCAGAAAACAGGGCTTGTAATGAAGGGAATGTGTTTGGTTTTCTCTCCTACAGCAAAGAGCCAAACCAGCAGAGGGTGAAGCGATGGGGCTTTGGCATGGATGAAGCGTTGAAGGACCCCGTCGGCAGAGAACAGTTCCTTAAATTTCTAGAGTCAGAATTCAGCTCAGAAAACTTACGGTAAAACATGTTTTTTGGTCTTATACTCTAAGCCAGAGACACCTACCTGTGATGTGTCTGGTTGTGTAGGACTTAATCGATCAGTTAGTGCCCCCACCAACATCACGGTGAGGATGGGAGCCCACTGAATCCCTGCCCTTGGAGGCAGGAAATAAAGGAGGTAACTAAGGCCCAGTCTGTCCAACATTACCAATTCCCCGTGGTGCTTTATTTCTATACTGTCTCTTGATGTTTTTATACATTTTGTGCATTTGAAATAGACTCCATAGAAAAGTATTTGGCAAAGTGGAAAATGGCTGATAGTATTTCTGCAGTTAAATTGAAATATAAACTATGTATCATTATTTGTCTTCTTTGCACAGTGCTTCTCAAGTTAGGTCTAGAAAAAGAGATGGGGTGCTTGTATCAAATAACTTGAGACAAAAGTATGGGGGCAGCTCACGTTCTTTGCACCCTAAATACAAGGCAGGTGAGAACATCCCCACGTAAGCTGTCAGTGAGAGAGGGGTACACATTCTGCCCGTCTGTTGTAGGCATCATCCTTACATATTTTGGAAATTTTTCTAACTTGAAAGACACCTGGAAATCGCATTTTTAAATGTGAAATAGATTTTAATAGCTCCATTTAAGATCACTGAAGTGAATGATAACTTTCCACTACGGAAAACTGTTTTTTCCATGAGCACTTCCATTCATTATTCTTTTGAAACACGATACCCTAACTCCCTTACCCATGACACATGGCGTCCTGTGAAATTCATTTACCGCGAGTCTCGCCATTCATTTATTTTCATAGGAACTGAGCAGTGCCAGGCATTGTCACGTTCTCTTCAGGGGATTTAACAGATGCCAGCAACAAAACATTCGGGACTATGTAGTACTTTGACAGATGTCCCATGGAGTAAGCAAGATTCCCACAAAGACAGAACCTGGGGGAATTTAATCATATACATGTGCCCGTTATGGATTGTTGGAGTACAGCTTCCTGTCCTCTTTCAAGTTAATGAGAACCTGCTCAAGTTTATGAGACTATAGCTGCTAAGGATGTTTAGGGAGCCTACTAAATAACATTTTCTCTATTAAGGTTCATCAATTATTGAGTACAAGAATGTATAAAATAAAGCAGAGATAAAGGATAATTTTAGCATTTTAATGGATGAGGAAGTGAAGCTTCCTCTAATTCTCTAAGTTTTTAAAAAGATGCTGACATGATGGGTATCGTGATGAAGTAGACAGGTAATAAGACTCGCCAGTATCACCTAACCAAATAAAAATGGTTCTTGATGTCATTAAAATTACAGCCTACTGGTGGATACAGAGAGGACAGACCACAGCACACAATGGTGGGTGTTTAGATCAGAGAACTAGAGAGGGATGATTAGCCCCGAGTTGGAGATCAGCAAACGCATCCTTGGGAAAAGGCCCTGTAGAGAGAGAACCAGGCAAAAAGGAACAGGGAAGAAGCTTTTGGGCAAAGGGGATAACATGTGCAAGCTGTGTTTTTATGGATTAATTGAATCACTGCTGACTCTTTAGTTCAAGCTTTAACCATGTCTCATCTCGATAATTCTGGGCCACACTAGTTTCCCTGCCAAGGAACTGCATATAAAATATTACATGTATCTCCTATGTGTGTGTCTGTACACTCAAGAAATAAATATATATGTATATATTCCCTGAGTATATACCTTACGCCTATTATATGTTTCCTTATTAAACGTATAGATGATAGATACATCCATCCATCCATACATACATAGGTACATGGAAAGTATAGATATAAATTGTGAACACCTACTCTATGCCGTAATATCCTTTCTACCCACTGTTTTTGTAAGTATGCCGGACTATTATCACACATCTCATCATCACAACAGAAATAAAATGTAAATATTCTCACCCATTTTACTAAGAAGCAGAATATGTGTGGGGAAGGGAAGGTTCAGCTGTCCAAGTCAGAGGCTAATAGTTGCCAATACTGTCCGCTCACTGTTCCCCACGTTGGAGCCCCACTGCCTGAGCCTCAGATCTGGGGTCACAGACCGAGGGAGACAAAATGGTCTAGTCAGCCGACGGGGCTAATTGCACTTAAATAAGTCTCAGTGCACCGTGTCTTAGCCACGCACCTCTGAGCCCCTGCTGTTTGTGGAAGTGTGGGGCTCATGTGAGCATTTCCCCCAAGTGTGAGGACAGAACAGGCGTGAAGAAGTACTGCTTATTGACAGCTACTGGATCTTCCGACGTAACCTGTGCTCTCCATCGGTCTCCGTTTTGCCCATTCCTTTTTCAGCTGAACTACGTAAATACTTGGCATAGAGTCAATACTAAGTAGCTAGTCATATGAGTCCTATTTTGAGTACCTAAAAATATGTCAGGCACTTCCAAAGTGGCCTTTATATAATTTATGTCGTGTAATCTAATAGAACCCAATGAGATAGGCCTCATCATCCCATTTCACTGATGAGGACATAAAGGCCCAAAGGCATTAAGACACTTGCTCCTATTCCAGCTCCCGTTGAATAGGGGGGGGGTGGGATTCTGACCAGTGCCCTTTCCATCCTGCTCCGTAACCACAGTTCCTTGAGGCTGGAAAGGGCAGTGAAGTCCTCGGGAGGCATTCGAGGGCGTGGCTATGGGAATGCCATCTGTTGCACATTATCCAGGGGCAAACCCCAGCTAGGACAGTCTGACAGTCGTAGTGGACAATCCGAAGTAAGTGACCTTGCCTTCATATCCTGGCTCCGATTCTCTGAAGTGGGGGAAATGCTGAGTTAGTACAGGTACATCACTTGGAAGAGTGACTGCACCTGTGTATCCGTGTAGGCGTTATTGCTGCCTTCTCAGCTTGTTGGTTCTTTATCCATGTGTCCGAGTCCCTGGGAGATGTCCTGCATCTACGGCAGCATCCAGGGTGCCTTTTCCAACCCAGCGCTTGCCCAGCAGCAGGGCTGTTCTGCTCGGAGTCCCCAGACTGTTCAGTTCATGCTGTCCCTTGAGTCCCTCATGGGCTTCCTTGCATTGTGGACACCTGGATGGTTATCTGTGTCTCTGCCTGTTCTCTGGGGACAGACACTGTCTTCTGTGTGCTGGGATGAACTTGAACGAGCATCATTTGTAACACGCTCTCAGACTGAGTGTGGTATTCCCATTAGACTGCAGTGTTGCCGTCTGCATTTTAGGGGGGCAGGGCCCCGGGCCTTCCCTTCTCAGAGCAGCCGCGGGTGCATGTCTAAGGCATTGTCCAGATTGGATACCTCCTGTTGCATATGACTATAGGAAGGCAGAATCTAGAAACTGGACAATCACTAGAGTGCGTAGTATTTGACGTTCCAATTCTAGCTCAACTACTTCTTTCCGACCTCTCGTGAGTGCCCAAGTTAAAACCTCACAGTTATGAAGGTGCTGCTTCTCACCTGGCACCTCACAAAGACTGTGCCTGTGGTGGCCTCTGTCTGTGGCCACCTTCTCCATTCATGAGCACACCTACCACAGAGCAACCACGGTGCCTGACGAGCAAAGCATAGACCTAGCAGTTCCTCCGTCGAGTATGTTTTATATTAACAAATTATTATGTGCATGCTTATCTTCTTAACATTATGTCTAAGTCTAATAAAAAAAATACGGAGCAATATTTAAAGAAATGAAACTCATTAATGCAATGTGACCCCCTTTTTTAAATTTTTCTTTTTTTTTATTGATTTGAGACAGAGAGGAAGGGAGAGGGAAAGGGAGATAGAAACGTTGATGAGAAAGAACATCGATTGGCCTCCTCCTGCACGCCCCCCACTGGGGATTTGGCCCACAACCTGGGCATGTGCCCTGACCGGGAGTCAAACCGGCGACCTCTTGGTGCAGGGGTCGACACTCAACCACTGAGCCACACCAGCTGGGCAATGTGACCCCTTATTATTAGACTTTTCTATTTGCTCTTATCAACCAAAACACATTCTGATGTTCTTTCCTTTCAGCATATAATATTCTATTTAAAATGATATAAATCTATTTATATATTTAGAAGTAAGTCAATATGTACTTATTTCTTCAAAGCCTCTGCATTACTCTGATACGGCTGCAGATTTACGTTTTTCCAGTTATCGCATGGGAATGCTTTCTGCCTCTGCCATTCATACTCTGAATTAAACAGCCTAAAATTAGCTATTTGCCCCGATTTCTCCAGCTCAGGCCTGTCTGCTCCGGGCCCAGACCTGTTGTACGTCCAGGAAAGCTTTGCTGTGGTTCCCATCCCAGGTAGAGCAGAAAAACCTCCCTGTGCTAACCTTCAGTGTCCAAATGGACAAAAGACGCAGAGAACACAATACAGTGCACGACTTGGTCCCCCAGTCCTGTGCCGTGTGTCACGCACCCTGAATCCCCTCCACTCCACCTGCCCCTAATAAGTGGGTCTTCAGAAATGCTGCTTGGCTTTGACTCAGTGAAGGGCACGCAGAGTCCGGGCTCCGGCAGGTCCACTTCTAACAGCAAACGCTTCAGAGACATTGTTTTCAGTATTTCCTTCTGGAAAATGGTGTACCTTCGAATACACCGAATGAACACAGTCAGGAAAGGCTTGGTGTAGGAGGCCCTCAGAGAAAGTGAATTCGGTAGTGTGCATCACTGTGAGGTATGCGATCACGCCATTGTGCGAGAATCGCAGATCATGGGACACGGACATCAGTGTCGTGTGTGGCGTCCCACGCAGGTTCTGGCTAGCAGTGGAGGACTTGAAGAAGAGGCCCATCAGAGACGTCCCCTCCCGAGTTCAGGAAATATGGCAAGAGTTTCTGGCTCCAGGCGCCCCCAGTGCCATTAACTTGGATTCCAAGAGCTATGACAAAACCACACAGAACGTGAAGGAGCCGGGACGATACACGTTCGAAGATGCTCAGGTGGGTCCAGGGTGGGCCTCACGTCATGTCACCAGAGTGCTCCTGAGTTTTATGTTCATTGTCATGGGCAACTATGTCTGCTATTCCGGGTTTGGTCTTTGTGTATAAAATAACTTTAATTCATCTAGAGGACAACAGAGACACTTTAGAGTGACCTGTTGTTATTGTTGTTAATCCTCACCTGAGGATATTCTTCCATTGTTGTTTTTTTATTTTTAATTTTTTAGATAGAGTGGAAGGGAGGGAGGAAAGGAGAGAGAGAGAGAGAGAGAAAGAGAGAGAGAGAGAGAGAAACATCGATGTGAGAGGGACACATCAATTGGTTACCTCCCGCGGGAACCCAACCAAGGCTGGGGATGAACCCGCAACCCAGGTATGAGCCACTGACTGGGAATCAAACCCGAGACCCTTAGTCCTTGGACTGACTCTCTAACTGCTGAGCCAAACTGTCCAGGGCTAGAGTGACCTGTATTTAAAAGCCTGGGAATGTTTTGTGAATTTATATGGTTTTACATGAAAATTGGTTTTTACGTGAATATTTGAAAACTTTTGCTTCATTTTGGACTCTGTGAGCAAGCCTTCATCAGTGGCCCGCCCCTGCAACACCTGTTTAAGGGACTCTGTGTTCCTGTGGGGTCCTACGGTCTGACATTCCAAAATGATTCATTGTCACAAACAGTCGGAGGAAACTGAATTAGCTTCCAGTGTGTCGAACTGAAGCCAGTTTTGCCACTGATGATGAAGTGAAACACTGGATCCAGGCACTTATTTATTTTCCAAGTTAATTTTTTAGTCTGCGGAAAGAAGTGAAAGGAAAGTCCTATTAAGATATTAACTTCCTAAGACAAACTTTTAGTGTGTTTTTCCCTCAGACTGGACATAAGTGTCCCCTTAAGAACAATTTGAATTTCTGCTCTCTCTAAAATAATATTATGCTCAAGAAGAAAAATGAGAGAATATTATTTCCTAAAGATGTATTAAAATTGTCATTTAAATCAGGACATGCATACTTCATAGTTTTTTTAACCTATTTTAGAAAAGAATATTAAGAAAGTATATTGAATATTAAGAATATTAAGAAAGAATATCTAGAAAGTATATTGCATTTTAAATAACAGCATTACTAAATAAAATGAAATGTAAAAGATGAAGAATGAGACACACAAATGCCCTTCCTTAATTTTACTCTCGGTAGAAGGTGCATTTCTCCCTGGCTTTGGTTGAAGGAAATGAGCTACTGTGGAGACACGAACACAGGCTGAAACAGCTCCGTGAGCTCCCGTCATCCCTCTCTGCGCTGTGGTCTCCTGTGTGGGAATAATTCCATTCTATGGCCCCACGTGATGGGGAGCAGGATGGAATCCTCTGGCCTTGCTTGCTTCTCTGCTATTTATTTTCATCACCGTTCAAGATAAAATTGCAAACATTTTTCTCGAGCCAACAATGTGTGAAATGTTTGGGATGACACTCCCTCAAGCTGCCACAGGCCAGAGCACAACCTCCCCAAATTGGGTCAATGACACTGAATTGGACGAATACATCTTTTCCTTAGACTTCTTTGCATACCAGTATTCATCATCAAAATAGAACTCTGTACACTGGTTAGGATTAAATTATTAAACACTTAACTAGTTTGTCACTGAATGAGTAAAAAAACAAAAAAAGCATACAAATGGCAATATATAGCCACTAAATGTCACAAAATTTATTTTTTGACTTGTGCTCTGATCCAAAGTGGATATGGGTGACAATTGTCTATATAATCTGCACTAAAGAAAGATGATTCATCTGGCTGTCCACACCCTCCAAACAGATGATGCCTTAGGTATCTAGAATGATTACTCAATCCTGACTTTAAATCCTGACTTTGGGCCTAGAGTAATTTTAAGAGAGAACCGATTGATTTATATTCTCAAATAATCTATATAAATCAACAACTCAATTGGAATCACGTTATGATATTCCATAAACTAAATTCCATTTGTTTGAAGAACTGGATGTGATTTATACTCTTCGTAGCTCCTCAAGCAGTTTTAAAATTGGTTTATGGATAAAATAATGAATTGGAGGCTCTGCATGTCCTGTAAACAAAGTTGTCCTCGTGAGCACTGTTATTATTTCTAGCTGCTTCCGATTTGGTTTTGATCCACATGTTGGATTCTTGTCACAGCCTTGGAAAAGAAGCACCTCAACCATTGTTTCTTTGTAGGAGCACATTTACAAACTGATGAAAAGTGACTCGTACCCACGGTTCATAAGATCCAGTGCCTATCAGGAGCTTCTGCAGGCCAAGAAGAAGGTATTGGTTCTTTGTGACCTTTTAAAATCTGGTTCTCAGTTATACTTACTCAGAGTAGTTACCTCCACTGGGCCCGAGGTATTGGACAAAGGGTAAGTGAACACTCTCCAACACCCTCCCCTAATCTTTGCATCTTATAAGAGCCATTTGAGTTACTTTTGTTTGCTTGTTGATCACTCTCTTTTCTTTTCGTTAGTTTCTGTAGCTATTCTTGCATTAGAAAGTGTTATCAAAGCTGTTTTCATGTTTCATGTTAGTCTCCTGTATGCCTAGTTCAAGGAAATAAAAAATCACAATCAAGAAAGGAAAAGAACAATGAATGCCATTAGGCAAACAAGCTTGAAGAGGGTTTTCTGTGTTCGGTAAACTAGGATGTATGTTTATAGCCACGCACCCTGTAACTGAAAACACTCACTTTGTTCTATGATAACTGTCGGAATGCAGTGACGTTTGCTTCTGAATATTTTTCATTTGGAATTTGGCCTAAAGCACTTGGTCTAGCCCCGCAGGCAAGTCCGCACACGTAACACGGTAGTAGCTGAGCACATTTTGGAAGAGTTGCAGTCAACCTCATGATTCAATTAATGTTTATAACCGAAGCCTCACAGTCGACAGCACCCCAGGGCATCCGTGCAGTAGGACAGGGGTAATCTGGATATAAACATCAGCACCACTCATTATTTCTTGATCTTAAAAGAGTTCATAGCTTCTTGAAATTCTGAGATGAAATTGTAATTTCGTGTAATTCATGATCATCATTTAGGCTAATGGGACTTTTCAAAATACGCTGGAGTCAGACTGTCCAGTACGGCAGCCGTTGCCACATGGGTTGATTAAATTTCATTCTAAGTTGACACAAGTTCATTAAGATGATACCAAATTCTGGCCAAATATTAAGTACACAGCTTAAAGGCTTCTAAAAGAATGGACAGCATGGAATGGTATTCCCATCCTTTCAGAAATTTCTACTGGACAGCAGTGCTTATACAATTAATACTGTTATCAACAGCAGTCTAGTCCTGATAGAATATTGTTAGGAAAACCTCTAGATTTTCAAATGTCTAGACTTTGCAAACGTCAGCATAAACATTTCGCATATCTGCTTCATTTTAGTGCGGTTTAGTTTTGCTCGAAATTGCCCCATTTTGTTTTGCATAAGAAGAGCTTTGGTGTTTCAAATACAATTGTGAATACAATGAGTCCTTCCATGGCAGCTCTTCCGGTCCTGGTCCCCCTGATGTAGAGTTTTATCATTTCATCTTCCTGTCTTTTTCTGCTCTGTTTTCCTTGCTGCTGCTTTTTTATCCCCCCATTTCCCTTGGCCCCACCCCACCCTGCACATGTAAGTCGGAACCCTCAATGGATCGCAGAACATCTTTTGAGAAATTTGCACAGAATGTGGTAAGTCTTATTTTGGGAGGAATTACAAATCATTAAATCCAATGAAGACATTTCCCCACTTTCGAGCCTCATCCCGGGTCTTGAGTCCTTCAATGTAGCAACTGAATTGCCTTTACTCAAATTCAGAACTTTGTTTCTACTTATTCCTTGGCCTCAGACCTCGCTAGAGTAGATAAGGATGCCTATGTGCAAAACTGCATGTATCAAACTAAGGTCTGGAGAGAATGATATGTTGTACTATGGAAGATGAAGAAATCATTATTTTTTATATTTTATTTGTATTCACTATGTCCCTTTCTTTATTAAAGATAGTGCATGTGTTTCTAAGCTCTTTCCCTTCAGGGGTGGGGAGCGTCCCACCCTCGGGCAATATGAAGCCCTTGAAATCAACACCAGCTAATATCAGACACCTCACCAAATCAGCCTGACCACAGATAGCAGGCTCATTTTTTTTTTTTTTTTATCCTCACCCGAGGATATTTTTCCATTTTTTGTACAGATAGAGTGGGAGGGAGAGAGAGGAAGGGAGAGAGAGAGAAACATCGACGTGAAGGGACACATCGAGTGGCTGCCACCCGCACGACCAACCAGGGCCGGGGACAAACTGTAACCAAAGTACGTGCCCTTAGCGGGAACCAAACCCGGGTCTCTCCGGACCACAGGCCGACGCTCTAACCGCTGAGCCAAACTGGCCAGGGCAGCAGGCTCATTTTTAAGTTGATAATTGTGTATGGCCCACAAATTATATTATAAACATCCAAATGGCCCTTGGCAGAAAAAAGGTTCCCCACCCCTGGTTCAAAAGATTAAGAACAATGAGGGGTCTGTGCTTCCCACTTCCCGGGGAGAAAATGACCTAGCAAGCAGTTGAAAGCCAAAGACCGGGTGTGAATGGTGGCCAGGGACAAGATATGCCCCCAAACACCCATCACCATGCCTCGCTTCTTCTTTATTTTTCAGGAAAATGTTGAAAATTGTTGCATAAATCATTTGGGAGACCAGTGGTGTTTATACCACTGTTTTCTTAGTATCTTACCATGTGACCTATTTGTTTTGGGGATTCTTCCTTATTTTCTTTTCTTTGTATTGTGCCTTTGGAATGTTCTGACATGTGTAAGTGCAAACTAAAGCCTTCAACACATTTATTTTTATAGGGCAGAAACATCCCTATTTTCCCATGCCATAAAAACTGTACACCAACACTGAGGGCCAGCACTAACCTGTTATGAAAAGAGGTAGAAAACTCTTGGTTTATACTCAAGTTTGTCTGCATTGTCCGTTGAGTTGCGTGATTAGCTCCATGCTGCTGTGTGTGTGTGTGTATGTGTGTTGTGGCTTTTGCTATGATGGCTAGTCAAGTGGAGTTGTGTGTGTTGAAATGTAAGCAAACTGGATTCGACGAAGATATGGTTTGTGTTTGTAGTTTCCTTCAGAGATCTTTGTGGTGGGGAATGTTAACCAGTTCTATTTACGAATTGCCAGTTGTGACTTTGCGCAGTGTTCGAAAGACTTTAAAAGCAGCACGTACTTTGAACATTCATTGCAATTGCACCAATTAAAGGGCTGGAAAAGGACGGACTCCAGGAATTAATCACACTGTAAACTTCACAGAATTTTGGCTGACTCTATTGGAACCTCTGACCTTTAACATAAGATGTCTTCATCACTCATCATGGGAAGATAATATAAAAGAAATGCCTCAAGATGTTGATGGAGAAAGTTGCATGGTGCTCAGTATACTGTTTAAGAATTTTTTCAGATGCATTCTTTTCTGATATAATGCTGACAGGTTCTTGAGACTAGACTGGAAATTTCTATGAGATAATTAAAAATAATAATGCAACTTAAGAAAGATATAAAGGGAAAGCAAAATGGTTGTCTTTCCTCCAACACCACCCCCAATTCTGACCAATTTCCCCAGCTCTTAAAATAGAACCACAGTTGTTTTGATTTTTTTTAAATTCCACATATAAGTAAAATATGCTATCTGTGTTTCTCTGACTTACTTCACTTTGCATAATGCCTTCCAGGTCCACCCCTGTCATAAATAATAAGATTTCATTATTTTTTATTGATGAATAATATTTTATTATATATATAAAATCTCCCACCAGTTCTTTATTCATTCACCTATCACGCTAGACACCTAGGTTGCTTCTCTGTCTTGGCTATTGTAAATAATGCTGCAATGAACATAGGGTGCAGGTATCTTTTTAAATTAGTATTTTCATTTTAGGGGGTGGGGGATGGGTAGAAAAGGTGAAGGGGAATAGGAAGTACAAACTTCTAGTTATAAAATAATAAATCACTGGGATATAATGTACAGTATAGGAAATAGTAATATCACAATAACTTTGTATGGTGACAGATGGTTACTTGATTTATTGTGGCCATCACAATACAAGGAATATAAATGCAGAATGACTGTGTTGTACGCCTGAAATAATATACTATTGTAAGTCATCTAACTTTTAATTTTAAAAAAATGACACCACATTGTCACACACTGCACAGTTAAGAAAGGATCAACAAGAAATAAAGGGAAGAGAATTAATCATCTACACCTTCAATCAAAATTTATACATCGTGTGCTGACATGTGCTTTGTCTTGAGAACATGCAGAAAGTATAGACTTTAATTGCTAAGGTGACTAGTGATATAAACAAAATGTTATACTGTACAGGAGAGTGATGAACTGTTTCTACTTGGTGTCAGGGTGGACAGCGAGAATGGGTAATATGAGAATTCCCAGAGGAGTTACATTTAACTGGATAAATAGGATTTCATTAGGCCAAGAAGAGGGGGAAAGATGGAATTACTGGAAAAATAAAGAAGTTGAATAACATTGATACACACACAAAAATATACACATACACAACATACTAGTACATTTCAGATAACCTTCAGACACAGTTTTTTAGGGTTAATTCTTTTAATCCAGGAAAATTTAAAGTAACAATTTTCATTGCATATTTTGTTTTGCTAGTCTGCTAAAGAAATGAAGCAAGGAAATTAGAAAGGCTCTCTGATTTTTCTCAGTAGATTACAAATGATTGCATTTATTTTATTAATCATGAGAAATAAATTTCTCTCTTGAAAATTATATATAAAAATAAAATTATATGAAACATCATTACATCTTACAGTGGGTAGTTTCTCTTAAAGTTCCCTTTAAGTTTCTATTTTTGTTTCTTTTATTTCTTCGTTGTTCAGTGTCCCTCTATGTTATGATGACTTCTAGGGTCAGCAGTTGTGCTAGGCGTACATTTTATGTAATACCTTTATAGAATCAGTGAAATAATTTCAACACAAGATAACAAATGATTAATTTTATTATAATCAGATAGACATAAAAGAGGAAAGATGGAATTTAAATAAAAATTTGAAAGGAGTTTTTGTGCAGGTCAGTATCCAAGAGAGAAATGGAATAGGGAAAATATAGGTAAACAAATACTTACACTGTGAAAGGAACTAAGGAACGTGAGATGCTAATACTCATACTTGCATTCATTCAGTGCCTGCCAGGTACCAGGCTCTGTGCTGGGCACTATATATTATCTATTTTAATTTAATCTGAACCTGCAATGTAGGTCTTATGA